GCTTTACTTTTTTCTCATTGCATTAATTCTTTTCTTTTTTTGTAGGTTTGTTCTTCGTCTGAAATTGGAAATTCAAGATCTAGATCTGGAACTTTAGATAAGTACTAGTATCTTTTTTGCTTTCTTGTTTTACTTTTTTTTTATTGCATTAATTCTTTTTTTTTTTTGTTTTTCACTGAATATTGGAGATTCAAGATCTATATCTAGAACTTATTTTAGATAAATACTAGTTTTTTTTATGCTTTTTTGCTTTACTTTTCTTTCATTTTACTAATTTTTTTTTGTAGGTTTGTTCTTTATTAGGAATTAGAGATTTGGGTTTGAAACTAAAACTTTTAGATAAGTACTAGTTTTTTTATGCTTTATTGCTTTACTTTTCTTTCATTTTACTAATTCTTTTCTTTTTTTGTAGGTTTGTCCTTTGTTAGGAATTAGAGATTGGGTTTGGAACTGAAACTTTTAGAAAGTACCAGTTTCTTTTATGCTTTTTTACTTTACTTTTCTTTTCATTTTACTAATTCTTTTCTTTTTTGTAGATTTGTTCTTCATTGAGAATTAGAGATTCGGGTCTGGAACTAGAACTTATTTAGATAAGCACCAGTTTCTTTTATGCTCTTTTGCTTTACTTTTCTTTCATTTTACTAATTCTTTTCTTTTTTTGTAGATTTGTTCTTTGTTAAGAATTAGAGATTCAGGTCTATAACTGAAACTTATTTAGATAATTTACGCTTTCTTGTTTTACTTTCTTTCATTTCACTAATTCTTTTTTTTTTTGTAGGTTTATTCTTCATTAGGAATAAGAAATTCAGGTCTGGAACTAGAACTTCTTTTAGATAAGTACTAGTGTCTTTCATGCTTTCTTTTTTTACTTTTCTTTTATTTCACTAATTCTTTTTTCTTTTTTGTAGGTTTGTTCTTTGTTGGAATTAGAGATTCAGGTCTGAAACTAGAACTTATTTAGATAAGTACCAGTTTCTTTTATGCTTTCTTGCTTTACTTTCCTTTCACTTTTACTAATTTTTCTCTCTTTTGTAGGTTTGTTATTTGTTAGAGATTAGAGATTCGGGTTTGGAAGTTAAAAATATCCCTATTCTCTTATTACATCTTATGTTGTCACTTTTAATTTATTATGATATTTTTGTATAATTTTCATTTATCCATTACCTCATAATTTATTGCTAACTATAGCTCTTGTTCACATTTGTAAAACTTTTAATAAAAAATATTTAATAAATAAAACTTTATACAAGTATATAAAACTAGTTACATATCGAATTGTAAAATATTTTAACAATGTTTAAACTATTTTTATTTTTTTTTACTTATTAACTAATATAACCAAAAAGTAAGCTTTTCATTACTTGATTATTGCTATATAGACATAGCCTTATTCCAATCTTTTTTAAAAGCTTGCCACCAAGATAGAAAATAACAATTCATATTATACTAGGCTAACATAAGATTGAAATCTGGTACCAGTTGTTCAACAATAATATTAGTAAGATAGTTAACTGAGGTCTATTATAATTATATTTATAATTATACTTGAGTACTCTCCAATAGCTTTCTGTAATTATGGTAGTTCAGGCTAGTAGCATTGTATGGGAATAGGAGAACCGAGCAAACAATACCCAGTCATGTTCATTATACCACTTTAGCCAAAGGTATCACTACAATTCACAACAATTATGAGTGTAACAGAAACAATAGACTTTCTCTATGCAGTAGTAATAAATCTAAGTCGAATCTTAGAAAATATCTTTATTTACCAGAATTAATAGATACATATTTGTATACTATTTAATAATATTAATAATTTCTTTGAACAATTCTTCTGAATATAAACTTTTAATATTACTAGCTAGAATCTATAATGGGTTTATAAAACTAAATTTTTGATGAGCTTCTAATATCTTTTGTTTAGAATAAGTATTTGATCGTGGTTTTTTATTCTTTAAATGTTTGCTAAAAGCATTTTCTAAATACCAATAGCATAATTGAAAATTTGTTTTCCATAACCAGTCTTCACCAATTGCCAAGATTTCACCAGCATCTTTGTCTAATAGCACAAATAAAGGTAGCAATCCCTCTTGTTAAAGACCGATAAAGAATTGTTTAAGAACCTGTATGTGAGTAGTAATTCCATCTTCTAGATAGTAATATACTTCTTTAATATTATCTGATACCAGTAAATATAAATATGCTAATAGAATACCATACCCCTACAATTAGTATTCACGACAAAGAGTTCAAATCATTCTGATTTGTTTTAAATATAAAATCCACTACTATTTCATTTATATTTTCAGTATTAATCTGATCAAATAGTGAAGTAACAAATTCCAAAGCTCGAACAAAATTATTGTCAAAGTAAGTAATAATTCTAAAACCTCTAGCAACAATTTCAGACTGTTCAAGATATGTTTTAGATGATAAAAGCTGATTACCTTCGTTTTTAAGATATATTTGTTTACTATAAACTGATATCCAATAATACACCTGTTCTTTTGTATGTATTGGATTAATCAGTTTATTTTTACTTAGATGTCAATATATATCTAAGCTTCACAGGTTATACTTAAGGTTTTCCTAGATCTATCATTTTGCATCTTCTGGAAATTTTGTTTGTCAATATGATAAATATTCATATAAACACAGATGCTCATACTATATACTTGCAAGTTGCAGTTGTATATTCATATTAATTGTAATTTTATCTTTGCAGAAAAATTGCTCTATTGAAGTATGAGCTTCACTTTGTCTTTTGATCTACTGGTCATCTGGTTTTTGCTACTTTCAGTCTTCACATGATGCATATTGAGGATATGCTGTAGTGTATCCTATAAATTCTTTTTTTTTAGATTTAAACATAAGTTTAGTCCTCTCCAATAATATCCAAACCTGGATTCTAGTAGTAAAGTGAAAATTTTGGTAAATTGTGCAAAGCTATTTTTGATTTTTTTTTCAGGTTTAATAGGTTGGTTTCAAGATTTTGACCAAGTTCAACAGCGTCTGAAAGCCCTGAATCTAATTCTATTTCAAATACAAACTTTGCAGGCTCTTCAAATAATTTAGCATTTTGAAACTGTATAGCAATAAATTTTTTTACTTCGTCCATACAGTATGAAAGTGTATTAATGTCATTATATTCATCACTTTGTGAATTGGTAATGTATTCTTCTATTTCTTCAGTTTGTAATATATTTGCAAATTTATCTTCAAAAAAATTAGCTTCTAATGTAGACTTAAAATTATTATAGTTCTCAAAGCTGCTATTAGCTTGAAGAGCATCTAGTGCATTATTAATTTGGGAACTTGAAGTACTGATAACTAGAACTATTATATTAGCGCTAATATCTTTTTTTGATTTCTTTCTTGTGATTAGATT